TCGATTTGACATGAGATTTTGTAAAGCGCATATAGATGATTATGGTCCATTCATGATGTGAATGTGACAACATCTGATTTATGAATACATATTCATTCTTCAAAGAATATGAACGTGCTAGTGGTAGTGAATATACCGCACTCACCTCTAAAAGTAGGTTTGAGATGATATAAGAAAATAATATCATTATTATGGCATGAATGGTCATTGGTCACGTACCTATTGTACGCCAAAATATTTTGGCATTGTGATTATTAAAAGTCAACGGTAATGCAAGAAACAGATCTTGCATATAATTTTGACCATAACCATAATGGTATAACTTTCTCTTTAAAAGAGATATTCACCATATGGGTGTTGATGAATATGTGGTACTACAAAATTAATTGAGAACTCTGCAAGAGCCAATTATACTATTTTGGAGAAATACAATTAATTACCAATAAGGTATTGTGTGGTAGTAAGTCTCAAAGAAACTTATTCAGTTTCCAAAGTATACGCAAAAGCGGTTGATTATATTGAGACTATAAATAAAGGAAAGATTTAATATCTTCTATTACTACAACTTGTAGCGGGGTAATATGTATGTGAAAAGCTACCCGCTTTATTCTCCAATTTGTACTACATAAACAAAAGAATACCACAATGAAGTGGATATTTATTGATATAAAAACCCATATCATAATAAACTTGGAGTTTATTGATAATTGCACACGTCATGGTGTAAACCTGAAGTTTATCAATATTGATAATTTATTCAGTTGGCATAATTGATTTACCCATATCAATTTAAGTATGATGTGCAAAAATAAAAGAGAATTCACATGGGTAAATATTAAAGAACTAGAAAGTTCTTTACGAATTCTCTTACATTGCTTGTTCTCATTAATTAATAGACCAATTAAAATTGGGATTGAATCCCATGAATGCTGGAAATATCAAAGGTGAATATGGGCCCATTCACCTGCCATGTATACCACATAAGATGCATCTATGAGATGGTTACATGTGCGATTATTAATAACCCGCAACATGGTGTTTGCGAGGTAACTTGCTCAATAATTTAATATAGAGCATAATTTCCAGATTTTTATTCAAGATAGTTCATCTTGATAAGTTGGTTTACATCACAGTTTGTTTAGAAAAATGATTTATTGAGTGCCTCCACTTAATAGCTAAACTATTGCTTATGAGAACAAAGTTATCTATATCAGTTTGATATAGGTTATATACGAAAGTATATTACATTCTCCCCTCACAAGTGGTTCAGGGTCAGGAACCAAATAATTCCATCTTATTATTATTGATGTGCGGTGTATATTTTGATTAACACCATAACGCACAAAGATGGATTTCCAAAGTTGAGGAAGTAAGTTAGTTTTTCTAACACGAGGGGGAGACATGATAAACAATTGAGGAAAAGTTACGTGGAATGAGTTATCATTTGTACATCTAGATCCTCGAATAAAATAATATGAACTTGAAGTTCATAAAAGGATAATTCATGTGCAATTTATTGCAAAGTATGCTAGACGCATTTGCTGACCCAAAGAAAGTAACTATATTCTCAATGTAAATGCTCCTATTAAGTCCTAGAAGGACAAAGTCTGTGGTACGCTTAAAGCATATAGACAAATCGGTTTCAAATAAACTTCTTGATAAAGAAGATGAGCAAATGATCGAAATGATCATAATAAAGGAGGCAAGTGATCTAGAAGATCACATGACATAATACTTCATAAAATCTCATGAGAGATTCAAGTACCTGAATATATGAATGAAGAGATCTCTATGTTATGTCTTTATGAAAAATAAGGAGGTTGGAACCGATATAAAATGTTTGTCGACGACATCTATAATAGCGCTAAATATATATGAGGATCTTAAGTCTGGAGAAACAATTTCGAATAGAATTGGTTTCATATGAAAGACATATATTTTTGAACATGTTGTTCAAACACTTGAAAGTATAAGTCAATAGTATGTGCAATCAGTTTTCGATATCTTATATGTCTAGCATGACATGAAAACTTGATATGCATCTAAAGTCTATTATATGGCTTATATGACTTAAAAATCCTTGAAGGATTTAAATTGCTTAAAGCATATAGCATTCATGGTCATGAAGTACTATATCTTAAATGCAATTTGTGCACATATGTATCTTGCTATGACTATATGCATGATAATATGATAGCAAGAGTTTTCACCTCTATGTGAAGATATTGAACTGACGATTCCAACAAGATCATATGAAGACAATCCATCTTTATCAAGAATGATGATTTCAAGGTGCAATATATCCATTCAAGTTAATATGGCAGATTTGTTCATCAAATCTCTACCAAAGTTCTTTTGAAGATGGTGCACAAGATTGGAATGCAAATGCTTAAGGATGTGAATTGATGCTCTCATGAGGGGGAGTTAATACGCGTTGTACTCTTTTTCCCTTACAATATTTTGTCCCACTGGGTTTTCCTTGCAAGGTTTTTAACGAGGCAACCAAAAGGCGTATTATTAGATATGTGTACTCTTTTTCCTTCTCTAGAGTTTTTCTCCCACTGGGTTTTATTTTAGTTAAGGTTTTAACGAGGCACATTATCTATTGAATAGACATTCAAGGGGGAGTGTTATAAATAGAATTTTATTTATGGTGAATTTCCATATTTAGAGAGATTCTAGGGTTTATTACTTGGTGGCTAAGTCACCCTCTCCCTATAAATAGAGGGTTTTATTTCATTGTAAATCATCCCAAATCAATAAGAATTCTCTCCATCTACTTTTCTCTGTAATACTCTTCTTCTTTTATTATTTCATAACAGTTTGAATTAAAAATAAAATAACAATGGCAGTATGACTATCCTATACACTAAACGGGCATCAAACAAAACTCTATCAAAGAAAACGGCAGCAATAAACAAAGAACAAAGTTATGCCTAATTAGATTCTAATTCAACCAAACAAATGAGAAAAAATGGTAAGAAAAGATTACCTAAAAATGCATACCCACAAAGCTGAGAATGGCCCAACAGAAAACTCGGACAAATTCCGTTGGTCGTACTATGAACTGAGACTAACATCAATTGATTGCTCTCATCAAGAATAATCGATTGATGTAGGGCTTGGATTCAATCGAGCCGAGATTGAAAGAAAATCCAAAAAAGAAAAGGCCTAGGGTTTCAACTTTTTCGGATCTAAAAATTAGAGATTTTGTGGGTTTCTTTGAAGGAAGTGGTTAAGAGATATAGAACGAGGAAGATGGTGATCGCATGGTGAGATTTCAGGGGCGATTGGTGGTTGCCGCCAGTTAGGGAGGTGGGGCATTTAGGGCGGCTAGGGTTTGATGTGAGGTGAGGAAGATGAGAATGAAATGAGAGAATGTGGTCTTTTGGGGGTACGGGTTGGTCTGCGATAGTTTTATGGGGAAGATGGGACCAGTTCCCAACCGTAGGATGGTGGGAGATCCACGGCAGAGATTGGCTTAAAGCGAAATGGGGTCGTTTAGTTAGTGGGAAAACCGGACTGGGTTCTAAAGGATATCGGGCAGGGGGTTTTGTTTGGGCTAAACGGATTTTGGACAGAATTGGGCCATTGAGCTTTTGACCCAGTTCGTTTGAAGACTTGGAAAACCTTTCTCTTTCTTTCTTCAATTTTGCTAAAATAACCAATTTATTTAACACTCCTAATTCCAACTAATTTGCAAAATTAACCTAATGACCTATTTTTGTAAAATTAATTAATTTATTTAGCTAACAAATACATGTAGAGTTACTAATGTATTTTTGGTGTTTTAGTGTTTTACAAATGCAATTAAAATCCAAAAATGTAAAGATTCAAAATATTTTTGTATTTTCTTTAGGATTTAAAATGCAACTTAAAAATGCATTAAATATAAGTACATATAAAGCAAACTAAGTAAAAAAAAAGTTATTTTTGGAATTATTAGGAGTAATTTTATATCAGAGCAAAAATTAGGTGCTCACAGTTAGATAAACTTAGGGTGTGTTTGGTATAACGGAAAATGTTTTCCGTGGAAATATTTTCCAAGAAAATGTTTTCTTGGAAAACAAGTAGTAATCTTATTCATTTTCCGGTGTTTGGTGCGCAAATTAAGGAAAATGACTTCTCAAGAATATTCATAAATAATTTAGATATAATAAACATGAAACCATAAACTTTCAAACCAACAACCTTACGGACCCACAAATTTCATAAACTTTCAAAATAGCGGAATTTCGAACCCGTAAACTTTATAATTTCTAAACCCGTAAACTTCCAAACACATAAACCTCCGAACTCATGATTTTGAAACTTGTAAAATTTTTAGCCTTTAAACCGATAATTAATAAAATTAAAACTGAAAAGCATATTTAAAAATTTTTTTCGGGGGGGGGGGGTAGGGGGCTGGGGGGGCAGTAAAAAGACAGAAATTAAATTACAAAAAAAAGTAAAAAAAAATTAGTAGACACGGGGTGGAAGTGGGTGCGTGGAGTGGTGCAGAAAACGAAAAACAAGAAATTAGAAATTGCAAAAAAAAAAATGTAAGGTAAAATTTTTTTTTTTTTGCGGGGGGTGGGGGGGGCTGGAGGGGTAGTAGGGTGGGTGGTAACGGAAAAACTGAAATTTGAAAAAAAAAAAAAACTTTTTTTAGAGAGGGGGTGGGTGGGTTGGTGAGAGTGGGGAAGGTTGAGAAGGAGCTTTGGAAAATGTTTTCCTTTCTTTTGATAAGGAAAATATTTTCCTCCAATTGGAGGAAAATGAATTGATAAGGAAAATATTTTCCAAAACATTTAAGTCAATCAAACATGGAAAAATTGGAAAACATTTTTCGAAAAATGTTTTCCTTCATACCAAACACACCCTTAGAGGTTGAATTTTTTGAACATTGCTCTCATCAGATTCAGCATCTGGTTTTATACCTATGAGACCTTTGGTGACTCCAGCAGAGAATGCTGAATGCCAAGTAATAAACAATATTCTACTACTTGCTACATAAAGCATAACAACAACACAAACACAACCTTTTATTTTCACTTCTAATTCAAAAGAAAGGAAAATGAAAAGGAACGATAGATGTCTAACAAGTTGAAACACTTCTTCCAGCATCAGAGAATTTAGAATCTAAATAAGTCGATTCACAATATACGTGATCTTAATATATGCATACATCTTATTATACAGAACTCACTCTAGATCCGTCTTTTATCTTTTACGCAATACCCCTCATCTGTCTCAACATCACAATAAAATCATAGACTTTGTCAGGGTCAGCAAGAGATTTTGACACACTCTCCTTTTGCATACACCTCTTAGCCCATGCCACAATCTTAGGACACTCTGCTTCTATGCTAAAGTTGCCAAATTTCTCATAAGCAGGAAACCATGTATAGTAAGGAATAAGGGTCATATCCACAAACCCAAAACTTTCCCCTCCAAAGTATGGCTTGTCTCCTAACTCCCCCTCCAATAACTTCAAGCACTCCATGAATTCTTTATTGGCTGCTTCTTGGTCCTCCTTTTTTGATGTCCAAATTTTCCTTCCAGTATCATAAATCTGCAATCACCCAAAAACAAAAAAAAAAACAAGATTTTTCTTCTTCTTTTTTTTTTTTCAATCAAATTTAGCTCATAAAAATACAACCCTCTAATGTGTGCATGTTTGGATAAGTTGGGCTAGACGTATATTTTCATCATGAAATTACTCGATGACCTTGGTTTTTTGACCCCCGCTTGCTCCATGGGCAAACCTTTAAGACCAAAAGTAAAAAATATTGCCCATAGGACAAACAAGGGGCAACACTTGTTAAACTTGAAGTTTTGTCCATATGGCAAGCGGGATCAAAAATCAATAGCGACACCCAAGCATTCTATTTGTGCAAATCACCCAATTTTCATTAGCATGTTAGTTAGACATTACTCAAGTTAGCTCATCTAAAATCTTAGGCCAATCTAGACAGCTTGTATAACCAAATTGACTTACAAGAAAAACTAACACACACACACACACACACACACACACACACATATATATATATATATATATATATATATATTAGATTTAGTCATGATCTAAAAGAAAAAATTTCAGTAGTTTAATTTGAAAATTGAACAAATAATAAAGGAGCAAATACACAAATAAAAAATAATTTTGAGTTGGACGAGTTGGGATATGGTCATATAATCTATTATTTAGCTCAAATTGATTTGTTCATCTTGACCAATCAAAATTAATTTAGATGGACAACTACCTTACTACCTTGTATGTTTATTGATTCAACCTGACTTAATTTACCTAATTTAGTCCAACTGGTCCATTTGATACTCCTAATCTCTTCCTTGACATTTTTTATAATAGAATCTCGAAATTTGACAAAAAACAACAACAAGAACTATGTCCACTTCCAAACCAGTTAGATTTAGCTATATGAATTTTCACTTATCAGGATTCTCCATTTAATCCATCTAAACCCAACATTAGGTAGAATAAAAATAAAAAATAATATTTCTCTCTGTTTCATAAAAACCTTAATATGACTAAAATTCTTTTAAAAAAAATAGAATCTATAGTAAAACATACTAAGATGAGTTAAAACATATATTTTGTGTACCTTTTTGTCAACATAATCAGCCCAAAACCTAGCATGAGCTTTCTCATAAGGATCAGAAGGCATCAAAGGGGATTTGTCCTTCCAAACTTCATCTATGTATTGAACAATAATGAGGGATTCACATATTGGTTTTCCATTGTGAATCAAGACTGGGATTTTCTTGTGAATTGGGTTCATTTGTAGGAGAAGAGGATCTTTGTTCATCAAATCCTGCTCCTTGTATTCATATTGGATGCCTTTCTCGGCCAGGGCAAACCTGACCCTCATCCCAAACATGCTCACATAGGTATCCAAAAGGACAACTTCATCTGCCATTTTTTTTTTGCTGAAAAATTAAGGATTGTTTAACAGAATTGCAAGATAATGTTAGAGTAGAATATGTGCTCTGTATTGAAGATAAGCCATCGTGATGGTACAACTATATATAGAAGGGAACAAGAGGTTGGTCCAAATTAAGTTGATGTCGAGTGTGGACCATGTTAGAAAAGTGTCCACTATAACTACGTATTACTTTTTTATTATTATCACTAAGAAATTTATTAGTAAAACTTATCATAAAAGAAATAATTAGTCAAAATAAAAAAAAAAATGAAAATACTGCATCGACATCTGGTCATCTAGATGAATAATTATCTTTATGTCTTTCCATAGAGATGCTCCACTAGCTAAATATAGACGAAAGAAAAAGTTATTAAAAGGACAATTATGTGCACTTTGAATTGAACTCGACGAATGGGGCGTTATTAGAGAAATTTAAAAGAAAATATTAATAAAAGTAGAAAAGTATAACACTTCTTTCACTTCTATGGTGGTCGAAAATTGCACTTGTGAGGATTCTAGTCTCTTCTTTTACAACTTAAAAAGAAGAAGAAAAACCAGAATCTAGCTTTACATTTGAATTTGTTTCAAATAGGCCAAGCTTCTTCAATTCTAGAATTACTTTTGTTTTTTTAAGTGTTTTTTTCTCAAAGTTGAAATGTTTGGCCAAACTTTTAATGTTTTTGAGGAGAAGCAGAAAAAAATAGCTTCTCTCCAAAAGAACTTTTTTGAAAAGCATTTTTGAGAAAGATACACTTATAGAAGCAATTTTTAAAAGCTTCACCAAATACTAATTGTTGGTCAAAAGTGCTTTTCAAATTAATTAGTCAAACACAAACTACTTCTCACCAAAAGTACTTGTGAGAAAAGCACTTATGAGAAAAAGCGAAATAAGCTGATTTTTGCTTAGCCAAACAGGCTAAAATTAAAGTATATATGATTTGTTGTGATTGAAAATTCAAAGGTTGGTACATAAATTAAGAATAACTTGAGCTAACTTCATTTACCAACTAAACTTCATCTCAAATCTGAAACTTACGGAGTATACTATTCAAATGTGTCTTTGATTTATGATACTTACACCGTAACTAAACCGTGCTTATTTTTATTAATAAGAATTGGGATACTCCCTACGGTCTACAATAAGTGACCAATTTGCTTTTTTATTTTGGTCCAAAATAAATATACATTTATATAATCAAGAAAAAATTCAATTTGTTTTTACAAATTACCCTTATGTACATATCCCTAAAAAGTTTTCTGACTCCTTACATTAAATATTTAATTAAGGTTAGTTTAGTCATACTAGGTATTTTTGTATGGAATTTAGTTGTTTCTTAATGGGCGTGCCTAAAGCAAATTGGTCTCTTATTGTGGACCGGAGAGTAGGGCTGTGCATAATTTGGTAAATACCGAATTACCGTACCGAAACCGAAAATTTTGGTATTTGGTATTCGATATTTTGGTAATTGGTATGGTATTTGGTTTAAGTTTTAAAAAATATTGGTATTAGGTATGGTATTTGGTATTTTAAAATAAAATACCGAAATACCGATACCGTACCGAAATATATATTATATTATACAATACACATATTATTAGTTATAACATAAATATAAAAATCTAAAATTTTACTTTCCTTTATTTTCTAAGTTCATCAATTAACCCTAAGCAAGTAACAAGACATTTCTAATGATCAAATTTATTCTTTTATGTACAGTTTTCTCTCTCTAAGTTGGTATTTGCTAGTTTTGGACAAAACTTTTGTCAACAAATGTTTTTATTTTTGTACTTTTGAGTACGTTAACTTAGAATATTACAGTCTATGACTTTATGCACTAGTTAGTATTCGAACCGAATAAACCAAAGTTACCAAACCGAATAAACCGAAACCGAAAGGAGAAAAATCGAACCATACCGAATTTAATTAGGTACGGTATTGGTATTGCATTTTAACAAGCCGAATACCGAAAATACCGTACCGAAATATCTAAATACCGTACCGTACCGACCGACGAACACCCCTACCGGAGAGAGTATGTGGCAAAGTTGAGACCCTGAATATACCAATCGCTTGTGTAGTTGTTACATATTTGTTATCAAGAAAAAATAAGATATATAGTTGGAAACGGTGTTACAAAATTAATATAATAATTATACAGTCAAAATAGCATGGTATAGCCAGTTTTCGGACTGGTCATTCAAAAATAGCCAGCGTTTACCAAGTCAATGAAAAATAGCCACTATTTTGCTACAACAGAGATCGGTCCAGCATAATATACTGGAGTTCGGTGCACCTGTGTATGAACTCCAGCATATTATGCTGCACCGGTATACTTTGCTGGCTCCAGTATAATATACTGGAGACTGGAGCACCGGTGCTCCAAACTCCAGTATATTATGCTGGACAGGTATACTTGCTGGAACTCCAATATATTATACTGGAGTTCTAGTGTACTTATGGAACTCCATCATATTATGCCGGAGCTCCAGCATACTTATCCTGGAAGTCCAGTATAATATGCTGGAGTTTAAGTATAATTATGCTGGAACTCCAGCATAATATACTGGCGTATTTTTCCGGGTTTTAAACAGTGTTTTCGCTCAAATTTATCTTTACATAAAAAGTGGGTAAATTTCGATTACTTTTGAAACTGGGCTATTTTTGAACCAGTTGTAAATCTGGCTATTTTTGAATTTCACCCACTTATACAAGAGCTCTCCAATAAAGCCACGCAGAATCCCTTTGGGCTTTGACATATCTATCCCAACTGCTACGGATTTTTCAATGAGAAAATCTCACTTTATACCCATTAATTTCAAATTATTTACCCTTTAATGCCAGACCCAAACTATTTACTACTCCTACCTATACTCCCCAAACTATTTACCCGCTAGTTTCACTTCCTATATATCTGCCCAAATATTCCCTTTGTGTTCATCGCACATTAATCATCAGCCAAAACATCAGAATTTATTTATTCTCTTCCTTCTAATTTCCCGGTCATTATTCAGTTCTTTCTCATTTTATTGCACTACAAAATGTCTAAATTATTTGCTATAGCAGTTCTTCTACTTTTTGTGTTAAATTCCGTCAATTCTCAAATCACAAAAGCACCTTCTCAAGCCCCAATATCTTCTCCTTCTAAATCGCCCCAATAATTTGGTAACAAGTTTATATGTTATAGTAAAGTTTCCCAGATCTAAATTTTTGTGTGTATTTGAATATCCACCATTGTTGGGTTTGAAGCTCAATTTTATTTCTGAAGATTTCTTGTTTGATTCAAAGTGGGTGCTGTTAAATATTGCTTATAGTATCTTCTCGAAGTTCATACTGAAATTTGATAGCATTTGGACCTGATTTGAGGTGATTGAGATCAAAATTTTCAGTTGAAAATCGAAGAAGAACACAGCTATAGTATACCGCTACGGTATACAATATACTGTAGGAGTATATAGCTATACTGCAATAGTACACTATTATAGTTTACAAACATTATTCCGCTACAGTATACTAATATACTATAGAAGTATATCGTTATACTGCAACAGTATACTATTATAGTATACAATATATTGTTATGGTATACTGTAATAATATGCAAGATACTGTAACAATATGCTGTAATAGTATACAATATACTATAATAGTATACTTATTACCCGTAAATTCACTTGCCTTTTCCCTTTTAATTTGTTTTAAGCTTTTATCCAGCGTGAGGGAAAAATTGAAAATTCAAAAAATAAATAAATTATAGTATGCTATATGATGTAACGGTATACTCTTACAATTAGATCCTTTTAGAATTTTTTAAATTTTTTATTGACAACTGATATTATTTTAGTTTAATAATTGAATTAATTTTTTTAACTCATTGCGTACAATTGTATACCCTGTTGGTATAGCTATATACTATACTAGTATCATATGTTAGTTAATATTTTTTTTAGCTACATTTAATTGGTATACAATTTGATTTTTCTTTAGTAATAATATAAAAAAAAGAATAATAAAAAATAGTGAAAACAGTAAATGAAATTAGATTATGAAGAGAAAAGGAATATAAAAAAAAAGAAGTTAAATAAAATTAGAAAAGGAAAAAAGAAAAAAATAAGAAGAAACGAGAAAAAAGAAAAGGAGAAAAGAAAAAAAAGAAAAAAAAAGAAAAAAGAAAAGAAAATAAGCATAGAAATAAAAAAGAATTGGAGAATAAAGAAAAAATTCCCACAAAACCTATTATGGGTAGGAAATGTAATTAATTTATAGGTAGGAAAACAAATGGGTAGACAAGGGTAAATAATTTTATTTTTGTGGGTAACTGTGTCAAAACCCCTTTTTCAATATATAGGTGTTATTTGCCGCTGCTTCATTAATTGTTTTTATATGTATGGGAAGATTGAATAACATGTTCTCAAAAATGATATGTAGCATTATATATGTATATAATATTTTCATATACCACGTAAAATTAAGTTAGGATACAAAAAGTATTACTTTAAAATTAGGGGTATACAAACCGAATCGAAAAATCGCACCAACCGAAAATTCAAACCAACCCGATTAAAAAATCCGATTAGGTTTGGTTTGATTTGGTTTGGTATTGTGTAAAAAAAATCGAACCAAACCGACATATAAATATATAATTTTCATATGTACTTTTAACACTTTTTACAAAATTTTCTTTAAAAATTGTCTAGAAATATTGTGATTCTCTTATGGGATGTAATATTTAGTTAAATATGAAGTGCTCCATATTTATTAACTTTAAATAATGGGTTGTATGATCACTTTCTTGAGTTGAGGATCTCCTGGAAACAGCCTCTTTGCCCCTTAGGGTAGGGGTAAGGTCTGCGTACACATTACCCTCCCCAGACCCCACTAGTGGGATTACACTGGGTCGTTGTTGTTGTTGTTGTTGTTGTTATTGTTGTTGTTGTATGATCACTTTCTTATCAAGTGTTAGTGAAATGCGTCAATCTCTTTGTTCTTCCATATTTATATGTCAAGATCTATTAAACTTATATCTTTTTCGAGTTTGAAATGGTATTTCTATAATTTAAAATTTAATAGAA